TAGTTCATCTCTCTTTCTTTCTCTCTCCTGGCCTTGTCCTCCTATATATAGAATGTGTTGGTATATATATATTTGTGTAAACGTATACATGTGTATATATAAGTATACGTACATTCATACATACATACATACATGCATACATACAAACATACATACATACATGCATACATCCATACATACATACATACATACACACATACATACATACATGCATGCATACATACATGCATACATAAATACATGCATATATATATGTATGTACACATACACATACAGACATACCTTTATATATATATGTATAATCCCCGTCCTCCCGATCCTCAAGTATTCCGCCTCTCCGCCGCCAGGCGGTGCTGCACCACTACGGACAGCCACGTCCTCGTCCTCCTTGTCCTCCTCGTCATCGTCCACGGCGCGAAATCCATGCCAATTGTCTTCGACATACGGTCATCACCGTCACAACCGTCATGGCTCGAAGCCGTCACCAAAGTCACAACCATCATCATCACACACCTGTATATAAACACATACATGTGTGTATACATACATACAAACACACATACAAACATACATACATACATACATTACATACATAAATACATACATACATACATATACATATACATACACATATACATATACATATACATACATACATACATACACACATATTTGTATATATATGGATGTATATGTACCACATACATATACACTGTCATCAACATCGTGTCCACAGGCATAACCCTCGGCATCATCATCGCCATCATTATAACCACGACCATCATGGTCATCATCGTCTTAATGCCGACCACATGGATGGCTTGATTTTTGCGATCATGGCTCGATTATTGCTACATGGCTTGGTTTCGGCTGGCAGGCTTGAAAAAAAATCATTGTCATTTCCATGATAATGATTTTCATGCCGCCAAGATGCGCGGGAGTCTGCAAGTTCGAGGCCCACCAGCTACTCGGCGAAAATTAAAAAGAAAACCCTTATCATTCAGTCTAGTATTGACGACGAGCCGCTGCTGGCAGGACATGCCAGACAAGGCCCAGAGGGATCGGTCGACGGTCGCGTCGTTTGTCTTCCCGAGAAAGCTGCCAGTGCCATCCACGGGGGTTCACCAGCTGTCTTTGAGGAGACTGACGGCGTCTTCTGTGGCCATATTAAGCTGGTGATGTTGGCAGGCTGGCGCGAACTTGAGGGGGCCGATGACCTGGCTCCAGAGTTCGAGGTGCTGAGATGCACCGACAGTCAGCCGTGTAGCAAAGCTGCCGTCGAGCACGCCACAGGTGGTCTAGGCCACAGGCCCCGCGAGTGGCCCCCCTCAGAGCATCCGCGCGCAGTGCCACCACTTCCTGGGCGGGCCCCCCCCTCTGGACGACTACGCAACGTTAGAGGAGGTTGGGGAATCCATGAGGAATTGCGCATCGATCCAGGTGTGCGCAAAGCACCCTCATGCTTCTGCTTGGTAGCGCCCGGCCCCAGGCAGAGCCGCGCTCGACGTTTGCGCCGCCGCCGAGACCACGGCCACCGAGTGCGACGCCGACCTCTGTCCAGCGAGGATGTGTCGAGGCAATCGCAGGAAGTCCCAGCGGCCTTTCCATAAGTGCTCGCCATCCGGGTCAAGCGCACCTGTTTCGAGAGGCAACCGCTCAAGGGCGCCCGAAACACGACGTGTTCCAGGAGCGTCTTTAAGCGTTAAAGCCGCTGGCATTCAAAATGTTATGGGTGTCATGTAGAATCGAGCGATTAAGCGACCCCCGCGAGTTCGCGAGTGAAATGAAGCCTCTTTTCACACAAAACCTTCTCATTCTCGAAAGCTCACTTCTTCCCCCCCCCCCCCGCCCCCGAGGCCGCCGCGGGAAACGACGGGCAGCGCGGAGAGCTGGAGAAAGCATGGGGGGGGGGGGGGGGGGGCGGCGGGGGGGGGGATGAGGGGGAGGGGGGAAGACAAATGGGGGAAACAAGGAAGACGGGAAGGCAACGGGAGCAGGAGCAGGAGGCGGATGGGGGAGGGGGGAGCAAGCAGCCCGAGCGGTCTCGGCCCGTTCTCGCTCACACCGATTCACTCACATAGTTCGTTGATGCAGTTTTTATGACCTGGCCAGCTGAATCGCCGCTCGCTCGCTCGCGAGACCCCCCCCCCCCCCCCGCAATTGGGCATGGGGGGGGGGGGGGGGGCAATCGGCCTTTGAGCGGTCTGGGCCCGCGGGGGCGGGCCGAAACAGCTCGGGCCGCTTGCTCGCCCCTCCTCCTCCGCCTCCTGCTCCTGCTCCTGTTGTCTCTCCTGTTCCTCTCTTTTTTGTCATTCCTCATCTCCCTCCCCCTGCCCCCCCCCCCCCCTTCCCACTCCTTCCCCCCTCCTTCGCCGCCACCGCCCCCGGCGCCCGCCGCTCGCTGCGCTGTTCCCCCCCCCCGCGGTCTCGGAAGCGATCGGGGAGAGATGGGGCGTTTTTTTTTCTTCTTCAGGAAGGAGGAGGTTTCGCAGTGAATCAAGGGCCCGCGCCCTCCCAGAGGTCGCGGGCACGGATTCTCCAAATGATTTCACGCGGAGCCCAAAACGTCATGGAGAACAATGGCTTTAACATCTTCAAATGGAAACACCGGAGGGGATCAGATGGCAAGAATGTCGGGATCGCCCGGCGCCGCAGGGTTTCGCTCGACACGGGCGCCAGAGCCCTGGGGGCGTTCGTGGGGGCAACGAAGCGGACTTCGCAGCGCGTGCGGTCCTGAGTGGCGGCGCGTCGCCCAGACGGCGCGCGTCGCCGCGGTCGTCGAGGCGGCGCTCCTGCGCGCCATGTTTCGCGCCGAGATGCAGGAACAAGGTGGGGCTCCACGTGGGGTGAATTTCGCCCTGCCGCCCAGCAGCGCAGCCGTCCTCGGGCGCGTGGCCAGCTGCGAGAGCTTCGACGAGCGCGCCCGGTGCCTGCGCCGCGTCGAGCCGGCCACGGGCTGCAAGGATGCGCCCCGAGCCTTCTCCACAAGGTTCGCCCGGGCCGCGCGTTCACAGGGGCGCGGCGCCGAGCCTGCGCGGTGGGACCTGGGACTCGAGGTCAAACATGACGTCTGGCGCCGGTGGAGCCAGCGGCTCAGAGCCAGTGCTTGCGTTGCCCAACCGCGCGGACGATCGGAATACCATTGGACGCCGGGATCATCGAACGGCTGACCAGCAGCATCCTGAGCGCTGTCGGCGCACTGAAGGGCGTTTACGATGACTTCACCTACTGCGGAGCGCACCGCTTCCGCAGTGCCGACGGCACCGCGACGCTCGACCAGGACGAGTACGTCGACGCCCTGGCACCGATCAGACACGTGGACCCGGTTAAGGCCAAGGCCGACGAATCGGCCGGACGTCAGGTTTCAGACTTTTTTGTTTCCGTCCTGGGAACGGCGGCCTACGCCCTGCCCGCCCAGCGCCACGTCGCCACGTGCGTCGTCGCCTTGCAGGGGGACGAGAACAAGCTGCTCATCCATCACGTGATGCAGCTCCTTTCATTCGTTTTGGCCACGCAGAAGATCAAGGCGCGCATCGTGTGGCCAGCGATGGGGCGCGCCGAGCGATCTGGCGCGCGCAGCGGCGGCTCGCTCAATAGGAGGGAGGAGACATAATACGGCGCGAGAGGAGTTGTATACATGCGTCTCGGCAAGTGCCGCCGCGTTGGTAAGCGTGCGTGCCTTTTGCTGTCCGCAGTGAGCTTGCGCAAGCTGGCGTGTAGATCGTCGTTCGGCTCGGAGCGGCTCGCAGCGCGCGGCGCAGGCCGCGGACTGCAGGCGCGCCCCCCCGCGCAGCGCGAGACGGCGCGCGGCCCCGCCTCCGCCGAGGAGATCAGGGGGGTGATGGAGAAGGCAGGTTGCGCGATCCCTGCCGATCTCGCCTTCAGCGCCCTGCTCATGGATCCAGCGCGGCCGCCCTTAGGAACGGCCAGGCTGGTCACCTGTGTTTGTTGGCTGACCAGCTCCGCGCCAAACAAATCGAGGATGTGCGTTGGCGCTTTTTCTCGGGACACGCGGGCCGACCCCGCGGCCAAGGGCCGCATTGGTCGGGAGGTCATCCTCAAGGTGATGGGCGGCCAGACCAGCTATGATCACGTCGCGGTCAATCTCAGCGGTGAAAAGAACAAGACCGCCCCGATCTTCCAGCCCAGCTCTGTCAACCAACAGTGAATACGCGACATCAGCAACTGCGTTCCAAGGTCGTCTTCCGCACCGTCAAATTTGCGGGTTTTGCGGCGAGAGCAAAGAGTGGTCGAGCACAGCATCGGATGTTGCTCCAGGTGGCTGCGTGAGTGGAGCAGCCGAGCGCACCTGCCGATGCTCCACCTGGAATTCTTTGCTGTGCATCAGGCAACTTTGCATGAGGAGGGTGATGAGCAGAGTCCTGTCTGTCGCAAGCACTTGTTTGACTTGCGGCCAGTAGAGCACCCCAGCTGGATTTTACGCAGTGGTTTCGTGTACGGCTTGCGCATGGGAGACCAACGAGGGGCACGACGGACCTGCTTGAGCACCACGTGAAACAGTGCAAGTTCTGCCCGTCCACCCCTTCGTTGCCTGATTTTGCCGCTGCCATTTGAGTCATCGATACTCATAGGCCTGCTCTTAGATTCGCTCCCACCGCTCTACATTTCGCCCAGCGAAAACATGCTGCTTGACAGTTTTGGTTCCCAGCACACTTGCTAGTCTCGCTCCCCTCCTTCCCCCCCCCGCCCCTTCGCACGCGCCCGCGCGCGCGGGAGGGCGCGCGAACGAGGAGGGGTAGGGGGGGCGGAAGGAAGAGGAGGAGGAGGAGGAGGAGGAGGAGGACAGGAGGACGAGGAGAAAGAGGAGAAAGAGGAGAAAGAGGAGGGGGGACACGCAGGAGGAAGGAGGACGTGAACAGAGGTCGGAAGGAAGGGGGGTGATGACAACAGTTTCGGCTGCGGGTTCGATAGCTTTTTGGCTGGCTGCCGGCCGCCACCCGCGCAGTTTCGTGGACCGTTTCGAGCCGCCGGACTCGCAGATGGTGGTGCAGGCGGAGAAGGCGCCCCGTTGTCTTCGTCGTCGGCGGCGACGATGTCAGTGGTGACGACAGCGCTGACCGCATCGACGACAGAAGAGGTGGCGACAGTGACGGCGACAGCGGAGACCTGCCGCAATCGTCGACGCCGCCCGCTGCTGTTTTTAATTGCGACCCGCCCCCCGCGGGAATCAGGCGCAGATCTCCATGTTTGAGATCACCGTGTGGGCGTCGGTCGACTTGTCCTGCCTGCCCACGGCGGAAGAGGGAGGGTTGTCGTTTCTGTTTCTGTTGCTCCTTCTGTTCGGCTTCCTCTTCCTTATTTCCCGCGTCCTCCTTTTCCTTTTTTCCACCCGTTTCTCCTTGTCATCCTGTTCTTTTCATGGTTCGTGGGCTCCCTTGCGTTCCCTCACCCTTCTCTTTCTCCTCGGTCTCTCTGTGTATCCCAGACATGTGTCAGTTGGGTCCGCCCTCGTCGCATAATAAGGGATGCACATTGCTGGTGATTAGGAGAGAACCGAGGCAGTCGATGATGGTGATGGGAATGATGATGATGAGGAGGAGGAGGAGCAGCGGGAGGGAGAGGTGGAAGCAGTGAAACAAGATTATGAAAGAGTGGGTGAGGAATGATGGTCACGATGACGAGGAGGAGCCATATCATTTCGGGAAAGGAGGAGGACCATGAGGGGGAGCAGTGGGAGGCGGATGAGTAGGATCAATAATTCGGTAATGTTATTGCACTTGATCAGAACGCGGACGACGAGCACTGACGTGTAACAGGGAACAAGGATCAGGATTCCATTCAGGACGAGTTCGATGACAGGGATAAGGATGACTATCTTCATGATGGTGGCGATGACGATGATGATTACGATGACGGTGACGGTGGTGATGTTGACGATGGCGGTGATTTCGACGACGACGGAGACGACGACAGGAGTGAGGGTGTGGATAAGGATGATGGTGATGATGACAGTGGCGATGGTGATGATAATGATGATGTTGTTGAGGATGAGGATGCTGATGATGATGATGATGATGATGACGGTGGTGGTGGTGATGATGATGATGATGATGATGATGATGATGATGATGATGATGATGATGGCAATGGCGATGACGATGGTGCTGACGATGAGGTTGATGATGGTGAAGACGTGTGTAATGATGCTGGTGATGATGGTGTAACGCATGATGATGGTGGTGGCGTTGATGTTAGTGTTGTTGACGAGAACGACGACGACGGCGACGTTGATGATGAAGATGGATACTGGTGATGCTGCTGACCATGCTGATGATGACGACTTCAATGATGGTTGTGATGACGATGGTGTTGGTGATGATGATGATGATGATGATGATGATGATGATGATGATGATGATGACGATGCTGCTGATGATGCGAATTATGATGATGGTGATGGTGATGGTGATGTTCATGGTGATGTTGATGGTTGCGATTCTGATTTCGGCGATGTCGATGACGATTATGATGATGGTGATGATGATGATGACGATGCTGCTGGTGATGGTGATGCCGATGATGGTGCTGATGTTGATGCTGTTACTGCTGATGGTGATGATGCGGATGATAAGTATGCTGATGATGTTGATGATGTTGTGTTTGGCGATGCTGCTGATACTGATGCTGATACTGATGCTGGTGCTGATGCTGATGCGGATGACGATGGCGATGACGATGACGACGCTGATGCTGGTGCTGCTGCTGCTGCTGATGATGATGATGATGCGGATGATGCGAATTATGCTGATGATGATGATGATGATGATGATGATGATGATGATGATGATGATGATGATGTTTGTGATGATGTGCCTCTGCTCTTGTTGATGATCCTGATGATGACGTTGATGAAGGAGAGGGGTCTCAGCCACAAGGGCGTCACGCCGACTTGAATTCCAGAGAGCGGGCGCTACGGCCCTTGCTCCCGCCGAGCTCTATCCTCCAGACCATGGGACCCCAACGACTGGGCTTTGGCCGGCGTGAGCCCGAAGGAGTCGAGCGCATCCGAAAGGGCTGGCCTCCTGAGGCCTCTCGCCAGGGGGCCCGCGGGGTCCTGCCTTTTCGGGTTGGCCTGCATTGAGGCCTCGAAGTGCCCCGCCAAAAACTCCTTTACAATGGGGGCCCATGGCAAGGAACACCTTGCTTGCCTCCAGGGTGCCCTGGATTTCTTGTCTTTCGATGGTTCTGCCATGGAAGACGTGGCGTTCCCACACCAAAAAACCAATGGACGCCCTGGGGTCTCAGGGTTGGGTTTCTTGTGGAAGGTTTCTTGTGGTCGGGCCCCCACTGCAGCTCTTCCGAAGGGGGGGGGAGGCGAGGTCACCGAGGACGCCTTTTCCCTTCTCAGGCGCCTCACTGGCAGGACACTGCTGCGATTCGTGGGGGCGGAGGCTCTTGGCCCGTCAGGGCAGCACCCTGCTGGGCCCACGGCCATTCCTCTCTGATACACCGCAGGCAAGAAGGGAGCGGGCATGCCGCTGGCTCACCCGCACGCCGCGCCTCCTCCGTTGGGAAGATGGGCGCGGCCAGGACCGGGTGGCCGCTCACGCGCCAGGGGGGCCGCCTCGCGGCGGCCGCGAGGCGCCCTGCAGAGGTCGCCTGGCCCACCTCCGCCCTGCGTTCTCCGTCTTTCGCTGTCGGGCTGCTGGCTGGGCAGCTCGGGAGGCGCGTCCATCGCGCGGGGCTCGTCCAAGTCGTTTGCCTTGTCATCGCAGAGGTCGTCGAACTCTGGCGGGAGCTCGTCAAGGTCGATTACCGTCAGTGCTTCCACGCCCATGCTGTCCCGTACCTTGCGCTCGCTCAGCATCGCCTCCTGCAAGCCAGCAGATTGCGCCGCGAGCTTGGCACTGTGGAGGCAGCCCTCCAAAGTCTGAGAGTCCGTGATGTTGGCCCAGCCCAAAATGGCCTTAGCCTTGGCCTGTTCGTCGCCCTTCCGATTGCCGTCCAGCTGCATCTGCGTGATGCGCCCGTCTGCCACTGCCACCTGCCCAAGATGGGCATTGGTCTTGATGATCTACACTCCCTCCAGCTTGTCGGCTACGTCCGTCCAAAGGTGGGCTCTCAGAGCCTTGGGTTCAGCGGCACAATGTGAGATGAGGGCGCAACGAGCCGTGGCCAAGCAGTCGACGTGCAGCTTGTAGTCACCGCCCACTTCACCGCGTAATCCTCCCCGTCTCACGGAAATTGTTCTGCTGCTTCGAGTGGCACCGGTCCCCACGTTGTTGCGACGAAGCGCTTGTTGGAGTCGTGTATGATGATCGACCAGCCTGCTATGCGCAGAGTGGGGGAGTTGTTGTAAAAGCTCGAGCCGTCCACGAAACCCGACCAGTCAGTGTCCAAGAGAGGGGCCAGCTGGTGCCACGGCGCTGTGCACCTGAATTCCATGTCCCTGGTGCGGTCAGGCCGCTGGAAGAGCTCTGCCACGTCAAGAAACGGCCCCTGGCGAAGAGGTCGTCGAACGGGTACCCAAGCTCCTTGACCTTCTCCGCCGCCAGCTTGGGGTCGGGGTCGGTGGCGCCGCGGCGTAGCGCCTGTGGTACAGCGAGCCGTTGGTCCTGCTACAGAGCTGGCAGTTTGTCGGGATGGAGGGCTCCCTCGCTCCAACCCTGGCTTGGCACCAGTAGACGTCCTGGATGAGACCCCTCAAGTCACTCTGCTGACGTGGGCCCCATACTTCCGACTGGTGGTGCAGCAGCTGCATGGTTGGCCTTTAGTGGTCATGTCTCAGGCCCACATGCTGGGGCCCCGTCGGTAGACCTTCTCCATTGCGATGGCCGGGCCTCCTGCACTCCAGCTTCACGAGCTTGCCGAACGCTGATGAGGGAGGAGGAGAATGATGAGGCGAGGGAGAGAAGGAAGAGGAGGAGGAGGAGGAGGACATATCCAGGTGCCTGCGGCAAATTCGCCGCCGTGAAAGCGAACCGCCCAGAAGGCCGGCACACGCGACTTTTTTCGTCTCAATTTGTGGAGTTCTCATGATAATCACTTTGGGCAATTTCTTGTCGTCTTGGGGCCCTCTTGGGCCATGTCACGGCCTTCTTGGGCCTGTCCTGGGGTCCTTTGGAACCCTCATGTGCACGTTGTCATTCCACCACGCTTCAACGTGCCAAGGGGGCCCGCTCTGTGGCTGATAGGAGAAGGTCAAGATTGAGGAATCGGATGGATGGATGATTTGGAATGCGAAGATGGAGGGAGTAGGTGAAGGGACGATGCGCAGGAGGGAACAGAAGATGATGAGGCTGAGGACGTGGAATCCACCTTGTCCAAGTCTTACCCAGGCAAATCGAAGGAGAAGGGGGATATGGAGGAAATGGAGGAGGCGGAAAGCGAATGAGGATAAGCAGGAGGGATGAGGAGAGGAGGGGGGGATGCGGGAGGAAGAAGTGTTGCATGGGTATGATGGAAGCGGGATGGAGATGATCTCAAGAGAGGGGATTGGACGGTAAGTGGTGGACGTTGATGGCAAGGGATGGGTGGGAGGAGAGTGTGGAGGCGGGGGGAACGCATAGGTTCAATGTTTTGTGCGAGGCTCTGTCGTCACTGGAACCAGCAAGAAGATCCCTGTGACAAAGGCCGGCAGTGGTCACCCATGGCGTCTGTTCCCCCCTCCCTCTCCCTCCTCCTCCCCCATCTCTCTCTTCCCTTCTCACTGGTGTCCCTACTCCCTCGTTTCTTCCTCCTCTCTCGCCTGGGCATCCGGCTCCATCCTCATCCTCGTTGCTTTATTTGTTTTTCTTTATCTCCCCCTCTCCTGTTCATCCCTCCCTTCTCCCTCCCTTTTCCCCCCTTCATTTCCCTGCACTTCCTGCCACTTCATCCTCACCCACTCCCTCCTTTTGACTGATGGGCAAGTGGCCCGTGAGTCAGGCCCGCCCAGGCCGAGGTCGTCTCGTTTTGTTTGGCAGGGTGACGATCCCATCGCTTCTCGATTGCTCCAGTCTAGGTCAGCCCTCCTTTTGACCCCTCGCTCTGTTCCGCACTTCTTCCTCCTCAAGCATCACACCTCTTCTCTCCTGCCCCTCTCCCGTCCTCTTCAACCCCTTGTCATCCTCCTTCATCCCCCCCCCTCCCTCCCCCCCTCCCTCCCTTCCTACCTCCCTCCTCCTCCTCCCCCTCCCCTCCTCCTCCCCCTCCCTCCTCCCTCCTCCTCCTCCCCCTCCTCCTCCTCCTCCTCCTCCTCCCTCCTCCTCCTCCTCCTCCTCCTCCCCCTCCTCCTCCTCCTCCCCTCCTCCTCTCCTCCCCCTCCTCCTCCTCCTCCCCTTCCTCCTCCTCCTCCTCCTCCTCCCCTCCTCCTCCGCCTCCCCTGGCCCCTCCTCCCCCTCCTCCCCAGCCTCCCTCCCTCCCACCCTCCGGCGTGTGGGCGGCAGGCCTCGATGCCCGCCTCCCTGATGTTCCTGCTCAAGCTGATGTGCATCACGGCCCCCTCCTCCGCCGCAGGAGGAGGAGGAGGAGGACTAATTGATTCATTGACTGACTTCTAACTGACTAACTGACTGACCAACTGACTGACTGACTGACTGACGAGATGCCTGGCTGGCTGGCCAATTGGCTCGCCCCCTCCACCGCCGCCTCCTCTCTCGCGCCCGCTGGCCAGCGGCTCCCTTGGCGCAGAGCTTGTCGTGCTTATCGTCGTCGTGGTGGTCGTCGTCGTCGTCGTCGTCGTGGTCGTGGTGATCGTCGTCGTGGTGGTCGTCGTCGTCGTGGTTGTCGTCGTCGTGGTAGTCGTCGTCGTCGTCGTGGTGGTGGTGGTCGTCGTCGTGGTGGTCGTCGTCGTCGTGGTGGTCGTCGTCGTCGTGGTTGTCGTCGTCGTCGTGGTTGTCGTCGTCGTGGTAGTCGTCGTCGTCGTCGCCGTCGTTGTCGTCGTCGTCGTCGTCGTCGCACTCGTCGTCGTCGTCGTCGTCATCGTGGTCGTCGTCATGTCGTCGTTGGCATCGTCACCGTCCCCGCTGTCGCGTTAGAGCTCTCCTCATCCGCCCCTGTCCTCATCGGCTGACCCCCTCCTGCCTTCTTCCTTCTCCTCTGCCTCTTCTCCGGCATCGCTCCTCCCCTCCCTCCTTCCCTCCCTCGTCCCCCCTTTCTCCGCAGGTGCGGTTCAACCGGCTCTTGTCAGAACCGATTCTGTACCATCACCCAGTGTTGCCCACGCAGGGCCACAGGCGCCATCGCGCCATCCTCATCAAAAGGGGCACACGATCGCCCCCAATCAGAAAAGTCTTTGCATTGCAGGCAGGGGGTCAATACAGCAGACGCGAGAGTTCCCTTGCGAGTTATCAAAGCGCAGATGGCGATCAATAGACATCATGCTTCTCCTCGGTTCTACTTCTCCTTTCAACAGTCGCCCCAGTGTGTTGCAACCCCACTCTATGCTCACTACGATCGCATGGCAGCCCCCGCCCCCCCTTTGCTCTATGCCACGCGTTTGCCTACAGACTGCTTCTCTCCACCCATTCCAAATCAGAGTTACGTCACTCAACCTCAGATGCATTGGTTCGGCCTTCAATGTGGTCAAATCAACTCCAGGTTGGACTCCTCATGCACCGTTCGTTTCCCTCCCACTAGCAATGGGCCTTCCTGGGCGCGGCACATGTGGTCCCACCACTCAACGAGCCAATTGGGCGCCATACCTACACCTAAAGGGGGCAAGGCGTCGTCGGGCAAGGCTTAAGACATGCTCCCACATGTGCAGGTAGAAGCTTGTGCGGTGGCCATGGGCATGATGCCAGGTCCTCCCAGGGACGCTTCAGAAGACCACTGCCCAAGCCGGTAGCAGCAATCATCCAAGAAAGGTCGGGGAAGGGCAGCAAGCAGGCGCTCATCCTGTTCGAGGCGGAATCCTCGCAGCCCGACAGTCGTCACGGCGCGCCGTCACTCTTCGGCAGTTCTGCATGGACGCGCGATTCGTTTCAAGATGACATTAAGACTTACAGCACTGAGGCTGATGTCAACGCAGAGGATGTTCATGCCCCCCCCCCACCACGCTGGACGAGTAGCACGTGTATCCAGTCTGGAAGTTTCTTCTTTCAAAACCCTGAGGGTCTGCAGGCGCGTCGCGATGCGCTGCTTCCATGCAAGAGTGCATTTCGTCTTCAGCTTATATGTCGTCCACTCGGGCATTCACAGCAAAGAATCAGCGCTATGCAGCGGGATATTGCGTTGGTCAGTTTCCAGATTGCGAAGGCTAGGGAACCTTCCAAACTCGAAGAGCAGACGTGAATTTTCGATTCGCTTCAGAAAAAAAGAGCAGCTGGTCATCAGGCAGACGGAAGCGGAAGAACACGCAAAACAGTTGTTTTTTTGCCAGCAAAGTCAGATTTTGAACAGGCCGTACCTATGCTCGTTTATGTTCTTTCCCAGACCCCTACTGGACCAGTAATCATGGACGCACCCATGCGTGCAAACGAGGCCCTCCCCCACATCCGAAGCTTACTAGATCGGCGGTAGTGGCAGCAATGCCGATCGCGACATCAAAGATTCACGGGGGCACGACCACACCGTTGATTCATCTCTTTACTGCTTCTGCCCCTCGAACTCCCCCGTTATACGCATGCTTCGAACAGCTGTCCGTTCCGTCGCTTAACACAGCGTTGCAAGTCAACATATTACCAATGAAGCAGGCAGCATCTAAGCAGCGCATCGCGGCCAATTCATAGCCTGCGCGGGGCCATGGAGGCTATCAGCAATCAAGCTTCTTCGGTTGGTCAGGCGGGACACACAGTGCCAACCCCTAGAGCGGCGCCAGACACCCCTCCTGGGGTGATGGCCCAAGCATCTAGCAGGGAGACAGAACCCACGCAGGATGCGCTAGAGCGTGTTTGTTTATTGCCTGAGGCATAATGGGCATTCTAGCCCCCGGCCCGCCCCCCCCCCCCCTTTTAACGTAATGCCCCTCCCCCAGCAGTGCGCTCCGGGCAATGCCGCCGTGCGCATCCGGATCTCTGTCGGCGTTTGCATAGAAGTCCGCATAGGAGCCTGGTCCGCATTAGGAATCTCATGGGGATCCGCTTAGGGAGTAGGAGGAGGAGGAGGTGGAGCTGGAGGTGGCGAATGAGGGAGGAGGGAAGAACGCTGCATTCCATTATCAGCACTTCTTTGGCGTGGTGTCTAGCTGTCCGCAAAAAGACCCTCACCTACATGTTCGTTCAACCTGTCCTGTGCACTCAGGCACTGTGGTGTACACCAGCGCTGCGTGCACGCGGCTGCTCTGGTGTAGACAGACGCTGTGGTGTGCACAGGCGCTGCGGTGTACGCAAGCATTGTGGTGTACACAGGCGCTGTGTTGCACATGGTTGCTGCGGTGTTACACATTCATGGTTGCTGCGGTGTAACAAATTCGCTGTGATGTACACCGGCGCTGTGGTGCACGCAAGCACTGTGGTGTACAAAGGCGTTGCGTCGCACACAGCTGTTGCGGTGTTCGCAGGCACTGCGGTGGACACGCGCGCTGTGGTGCACGCGAGCATTGTCGTGTTCACAGGCGCTGTGGTGGGCACAGGCGCTGTGGTGCACGCAAGCACTGTGGTGTACACAGGTGCTGTGTTGCACATGTTTGCTGCGGTGTCACACATTCGCTGTGGTTTACACCGGCGCTGTGGTGCACGCAAGGTCTGTGGTGTACACAGGCGCTGCGTCGCACAAGGCTGTTGCGGTGTATGCAGGCACTGTGGTGTACATGCGCGCTGTGGTGCACGCGAGCGTTGTGGTGTACACAGGCGCTGTGGGCAGGTCGCCACCTACATGCTGCTCGTTTCGTCGTCGTCGTCGCTCGTCGCTCGTCGCTCATCGTCGTCGTGCGCGCGGGCGCGGCTGTGGTGCTGGAGCTACACGGCGGGGGGAGGGGCTTTACATGATACCCCCTTCCCGCCCCCCCCCTTACAACGCCCATGATCGCCAAAAAATAAAGAAACGCGCGCAGGCCGCCTGTGGCCATTTCGACTTCAGGTCCGCAGTGCACGAGTGATCCCGCCACGTTCGCTGGAGGTCTTGTCGCCAGCATCCGGGTCGGCGCGTGAAGCGGGGCGGGATTTGCGCGATGCCGCAGGAAACATAGCTGCGGATCCACCAGGCAGCGAACCGTCTGCAGATCGACGGGGAACGTCAGCTGCGCAAGATTGGAGATGGGCCAGAGCTCTGTCAGCAATCCGCGAATAGGCATCGGAGGAGGCTTCCCGTAGACGGGGAGGCTCTCCATAGACGTTCCACTAGTCCCAGTCAGTGCAACGTTACCCCGAAGCAATCCAGGCAGCTCCAGATGGCCGACTTACTTTTCGCTTTTCGATGTTTAATGTCGCAGGACATATGGAGCCGAGCACACCGGCGTGGATGGGCCGCCCTCTTGTAGCCCGCCAGGAATTTAGAGTCACATAAGTTGGGAATGGAGGCCGCTCATGGCTTCAGTTGCCTCCTCAGCGACCAGCGCTACAGACGTTGACCAGTTCCAATTTCAGCCGGCGCATAAACCGCTGAACTAAGTTGGCCAAGCTCCCACTCGCATCATGGCGCCCGGCCCCCCTCGATACGGAGTTTTCTGAAAGCACGCACTAACGAAGGAACGTGCCGCCGCGCTAGGGCTGCTAGGGTCTCGCCAGACACCACCAGGTAAGAACGCCCACGATATTTTCTCCCGACAGAAGAACACCTACCCAGCTGACACATGCTTCTGGTTAGACCAAGCACCCTATCAATGTGTATATATATATATGTATGTGTATATATACACATCTCCGCGAGGCAGTCAAGACTCCCCTCCCTTTCCTTCCTTCGAGCGTTCTAGAGCGCCTTCTTCGCTTTTCTGTCGCTCTTAACTTTGAACTCTCGGTAGGTCCTGATTTCGCGGGCTCCGCGCGCCCTTGCCCCAGAAGAGTCCAGATGAATTCCGTGCCGCAGAGGTTCTGCAACCTTTTGGTTCCCAGGCCCGCTGAGATAGCCGGCGACCCCGCGATCGCGCCTAGCGCTGATCCAGCTTCAAATGAGGGCGAGGACTCAGGGGCAACAGAGGAAGCAGCGCAAGTGCTTGGCTCCACGCGCGTTTTTGGGCCCCCCCTCCCCCCCCCCGCCCACTGTCCCCCGACCTTTCTCAGGCGCATTCGGAGGCAGGGGCGGCAGGATCGCACCATTTTGTCGACCCTGTCCTCTCTCGGGAACAGGCGTCTGGAATGTGCAATGGGGGCCGGTCGCAGACGCTCATCCTCGACGATTTCGAGTCATGGTAGTTTCGGACGCAGGATAGGTCGGCGAGAGGACGGCGCATCCACAGCCGAGCTACGAATGACAGTAGGGCCCCCTCCGCTCCTCCTCCCGTTTATGCGCCTGTCGCATCGCCTCAGGAACATTTGCCCCAGCAGCTCGCGCACCCCAGATCAGCGGATCAGTACCCCGTGATTTCTTTTCTTCCGCAGCCAACCAGCAGCGTCGGTCCGCTCGCGGCAACGACCTCGCCTCCACCTCCTCCAATTTCTGCAGCGGCCTTCGCCGCCGCCGCGGCCTCCTCCAGACTGGGTCGGCAGGGCAGCGGTCCCGCTAGCTGCGTCCATCGGAGAAGCAGCGACGGGCAGGAGCCCTTGCCCGTTCTGCGTGCTCTCCCGGGCCCGCGCCATTCCCGCGACGGGCTGGCATGCAGCGGCGCTCGCCGCTTGAAGTTTGACGATCGAAAGAGGATCGGGCCTGGCGGCTCAAGGGCTCCAGACGCCCGGCGGCCATCAAGTTCTTTGGTAGATTTGGGCAATCGACGGTTGAGCGGGCGGCTGGAGCCAGTGGCTACTTTCTCGGTCCGTGGGACAGCATGCTGCGGCAGTACGACTGCGCGTTTTACTTCCAGTCTAGGCACGCATGTGAAGCGGGCGATTTGTCCGCACGCGCAGAGTCGCGCGGACCGCTCCTCCCCCGCCTCGCCCGATTTACACCCGCCGCCCGCGCCGCCAAAGCCGCGTCCTAAGCCTCCGCCCCCGCCGCCGGTGGGGTCAGAGTTTCGCGCGTTGTGCCCCCCGGCTTCTGCGCCGAACCGCCCGGCGCCACAGCCAGAGCCGTCGCGTAGATTATCAGCGCCACCTCCAGGATTTTAAGTCTGGGAGCGCACGCGGAGCAAGCAAGAGGCAGGGCAACCGCCATCCAAGAGGCACATGGCTCGCGCCCTACACATCTGCTCATTCAAAAGGCATGCGCTATGTGTCGATCGTTTTTTGATTTAGTTGCTCCATTATCCTTGACGCGTTGCTGAGCGTTTGCACGATTGATCGCGCAGGATGCGCGGGGAAGGCGCTCGCAGTGGCATTCAGGCTGGCCTCATGCCGTCGCACTCCCCCCCACTCCTTGTTTTCCTCTCCGTCTGGTGGCCGCGAGCCGCGGTCGCCGCCCGCCCTCGCCACGAGCGCCCCATCCCCTGTCCGCGGCGAGCGTTGTGTGAGCCTCGGTATGCGTAAGTCGGGCGTGTCCTTCTACAGGAGGAATATTCAAAAGCAGTCAAACAATAGCCTGGGGACGATATGTTTATTTTTTTTTTGGGGGGGGGGTATGTTTGGGTATTCTTATGTTTTCGCCCAGAATCCGCCTAGGGGGAAATGCCCGACCTTTGGGCCCAAGGGTATGCACAGGGCTTTTCCTCCCCCTCGTTTTTCCTGGTCGTCGCTGTCTTCGCTGAAAGACCGACGGCCCATGATTATAAGCATACCTTGGTTTTGCACATCTTCGCTCGCGGCCCAGGCTCTTCTCGTGAACAGCTCGTTCCGCGCGTTATTCTGCAAAGCAGAGCGTCAGATCTTCTGATTGGCCCAATGCCGATATTGCTATGACCCCCCAGGCGTCCGCACGTGGGGCGCGCTTTCATTCCCCCCCCGCCCCTCCTTTTCCCGCAGCCCTGTCTTGCCCCAGCGTCACTCAGCGCGACGTCCACTGCTGTCTCTGAGGTTGCCGCGGCCACCCCCTCGCCCCCTGGCGCGTGGCCTGCGCTGGCGGCCCGCCGTCTGCCATGGCGAGGGGAAGTGGCCGAAAGCGTGCCCTACCCCTTCCTTTTCTGGAAGCTGGTCGGGGGCCACCGCGGGGGGCAGGCGGGCCCGCGAGAAGCTGGGCTGGGAGCGGGTCCGGACCCCGCCGGCACGCGCGCCCCCGCACGACCGCCGCCAATCCGGAGTGAGAAGGCGGCCAGCCGCGCTCAGCCCCCCTCCTCCTCCTCCTCCTCCTCCTCCCCCTCCCCCTCCCCCTCCTCCTCCTCCTCCTCCTCCTCCTCCTCCTCCTCCTCCTCCTCCACCCCTTTCCTGATCAGCCACCATGCCTGTGGGCGGCCAGCCCCCCTTCCTCCGCGCCAGCTAGCGCTTGGCAGGTCACATCTAGAAGTTGGGCCTTCTGGCCGCAGAGTCGAGACGAGCAGCGTGCCGTGCTCTCACGCAAGCAGCGTGGCGCACTTTGGCGCCGCCGCTTCTAGGTACTTCGCCCGCTTATTCATGCGATAGTGCAGCAGGGTGTACGTCATGCTCGGCAGCTTTTGTTTGCAAGCAGGCCACCGCGCATTGTCCTTTGGCGGCGTAGCCCTGAGAGGTTCCAGCCCAAGGACCTGAGCGCTGATCGTTGGCGGGCAAGAGGTTTGGCACAGACGATGCCGTATTCTCATTATCTCTTTTGTCTGCAGTTCACATTTGAGTATCGTCCGCTTGTCTTCGTTACTTGCAGCAGTTCAGTCGTCTGTCAGTGACCCAATATAAGCATCAGTAGTTCGCCCAAGCTCGGGATTCTCCGCAAACTTGACTAGAGCTTCCTTTCGACTCGAGGAGAGACCCATTTCTAAGCGGCGCTAGATGCCGCCAGTCCTTGTAAGTCCATGGGCCAGCCTGGGTGCAAAGGCCATGATGCGAAGTAGTGGAAATGTGAGGTGCAGAGCGCGCGGGTGATACACAGTCGTCTCCCGTTGTATCAAGCCATCCCCTTCCCCATCAAGTGGCCACCTCACCTGGTCGCGCCAGCGAACACACTTGGGTGTCTTTTGGAACCCAAGAGGGTGCCCGAGACAACGGGCCCATCAATTCAGCTTTACAGCGGCAGATCGAGTAAGGCATTGCCAATACGCCAATGGAGCTCACCATCAAGAGTGGACCTGACGTGCGCGGACACAGTCCGCGTATATAGCCTGTGTGAGGGGCAACGCCTGAGGTAAGTGCGTGGAACCGCTCCACCCACTTCCGTTTTCGATGCGATTGTTTTTCCGTTCCCAGACCACATGTCAGCCAAGCCCCTGGAACCCTCCCCATCCCGTTCAAGATAGGGATGGCGGGCAAGTAGTCTCAAGGCCAGTTTGATTCTCCGTTCCTGCTCCGCCCATCCACCACCCGTTGAATGTGATAGGAGCTCCCAGCCGTGTCATCCTTTTTGTCTGCAAGACACGTCAACCGAGCAACCAGCCCCTGTGCGTGCCGACCTAGTTCTCCTCCTCCTCCTTCACTGCGCCTCCCCCTTCTCCCCCTCGGACACTACCCCTGCCTCCCGCGATGGCGGTGGGCCTGATGGGGGGCGAAACATCGGGGGCGGACAGATACCTTCCCCTGACACGCCGATTCGTGAATTGTTCGTTGTTGGTTCTCCATGGGGCGCCGCGGCCGTCATTTTTCAAGCTTGCACCCGCCAGGTTTGGGCCCGAGGTCGTTTTCACTCAACCGCGTTTTACTTAAGAGAGCTCTGTCCATCCCCGAAAATATACTCGCTCGATTTGTCAGTTGGGGCTCTGGGCCCACCTGCGCGCACCTTGCGCCTTTGCACGTCAAGCTGCGGCGCATCACGCTCTCAGTTCAAAGCCTCTCTCCGCATCTCTCCTCCCGCCTCCGCCCGCCCGCCCCCCGCTCCAACGCATTGCGCCTCGCTCACTTCGTTCCTCCTCTTCCCGAGCGCCACTACTCCTGCCCCCCCGCGCCTGAACTCGTTCGGCTTTACTTTCTGAGGCTTCGCCTCCCCCTCCCAGCCTAAGTGGCTAGGGGTTTCATGCTTCCAGGGTTTTTCGGTTCCTCGGAGAACTCCTGCAGGCTGCTCGCCTCCCTCGGTACTCGTTTTTCTTTCGGCCTCCTTCCCCGTCGTCCTCTCCTCCCCCGGCCTCCCGCCAGAACCCCCAGCCGTATCCCTTCTCTGTTCCTTCCGCATCGGCTCGAGCGTTGTGTCTTGGTATGTTTATCCTCCTCCTCATCCCCTCCCTTCCGCCCTTTGCCCTCGTCCAGCCTCCGGCCGAATCCGCTCCCAAGGACACGTTCAACGTGGAAGGCAATTCTATGGTGTTCAGGGAGCGCGCGGTTTCGCAGCCAAAGTAGAAAAGGCGGGGGAGGATAAGGACACCGTGGATTATGATGATGGCGATGATGATGATGATGATGGCCATGGTGGTGATGGTGATGATGATGGTGATGATGATGATGATGATGATGATGATGATGATGGTGATGGTCATGATGATGGTGATGATGAAGATGGTGATGGTGATGGTGATGGTGATGGTGATGGTGATGGTGATGGTGATGGTGATGATGATGATGATGATGATGATGATGATGATGATGATGATGATGGATGGTGCTGATTATGATGATTATGATGACGACAGTGGTTGTGGTGGTGATGATGATGCAGATGCAGATGCTGATGTTGATGCTGATGCTGATGATGGGGATGGGGATGGGAATGGGGATGGGGATTGGGATGGACATGGGGATGAGGATTGGGATGGGGATGGGGGTGGGAATGGTGGTGATGATGATGATGGTGGTGAATGTGATGGTGATGATGATGTTGATGGCGATGGTGATGTCGATGGTGATGGTGATAATGGCGACGGTGACGATGATGATGATGATGCTGAGGAGGATGAGGACGAATATGATGATGATACGATGATGATATGATGATGCTGTTGCTGATGATGATACTGATGATGATGATGATGGTGATGATGATGATGATGATGATGATGTTAATGATGATGATGATGAGGAGGAGGAGGAGGGCGTTCATGGTGTTAAACGCCCGTACCGCCAGCGGCCGATATGGTTTGGGAGAGTGCGAATTTCCTTCAGTCACACAGGGTGGAACACGGCAACCAGGATGCTGATTCAGTAACCCGAGTCTTCACCTGGGGAGTATTGAACACATACTGTTGTACTTCGATTTCGTCAGCATGCCTGTACGAACGCGCTTCACATTTTTGGGCAAAAAGTAGAGCGATAGGGAATGGACAGCATCAACAGGTGGCGATAAGGTATGGGGAGGATGGCGATGACGAGGAGGAGGAGGAACAGGAGGAGGGATGAGGAGGAGGAGGAGGAGGAGGAGGCGGAGGAGGCGGAGGAGGAGAGGAGGAGGAGAAGGAGGAGGGGGGAGGGAGGAGGGGGGAGGAGGAGAGGGAGGAGGAGGAGGAGGAGGGAGGAGGAGGAGGAGGAGGAGGAGGAGGAGGATAGGAGGAGGAGGAGAGGAGGGAGAGGAGGAGGAGGAGGAGAGGAGGAGGAGGAGGAGGAGGAAGACGGAGGAGGAGCAGGAGGAGGAGGAGGAGGAGGAGGAGGAGGAGCAGGAGCAGGAGGAGGAGGAGGAGGAGGAGGAGGGAGGAGGAGGAGGAGGACCATTGTAGATCCAATGTGTAGCAGTGATTTTGCCATACACCCTCCCTCAAAATTCCGTTTACCGAAGTCCCTACACGGGTTCGTTTTCTTTCAGGGATGTGCCCCGTTGGAAGACAATTCCTTTGGAACATTTTAAAGCGTGCCTTCACAATTATTTGGACCTCAACGCCCCGAAGCAGCGTTATTGTTCCGCCCTGGCGATCCTGAATCGCGCCAGGACATAAGTCCTTGGACTCGAACACCGCGAACCGAAGTAACAGTGTTGCGGCCGCAACACTGTTGCGGCCTGACAGTTTCACATCGCGGCAGGGCACCATTCCCGGGACGGCAACCGTAAGAATCCAAGAAATTCTTGCAACATGTTCAGACGAATGCGGGCGGCGTTGAGGCGAAAGCCACATGTTGAAAAGGAACAGCCCTCCATCCGCGAATCCCTTGTGATCTTTTAAGACGAAGGCGTGGGGCTCCACGGCGAGAGCCACACTTTCAACACGAGCAGCTCTCCATCCGTGAAGCTCTGGCAAATGTTTGAGACAAATGTGCGCGGCGCGTGGGCAGAGCCTCATTTTGAAAGCCACCTGCCCTCCATATGTGATACTGCTGCAACTTTTAAGCTTAAGGAGGTTCATGAGTCACGGGGAAGTCTGAGGCGAAGCGCCCGGCCCGTCCGACGGACACGTTTCGGGGTGCGACCGGAAGGATTGGTTTACAAGGAGAAGGGATGGAGGAGCAGGAGGTGGATGATAATGATGAGGAGGGGGAGGAGTTGGGAGAGTGAGGGAGCACGGAGGATGGCCAAGGGCACCCCTCCGGCGGCCAGGAGTGGAAGCAGGGGGCCATGCGCCAGTCCATCCGGCAGTTGTGCACGTTGTTCCGCATCTATTACCAGGCTGGTGGTCATGTCCAGGAGGCCGAGGAGGGCTGGAAGGCGGAGGGCGACGATGATAAGCAGGACGGGTGGGTGAGGAGGATGAGAAGGGTGAGGGAGGCGAGGAGGTCGAGGAGCAGGTGGAGGAGGCGGATGAGGGGTATGGCCAGGGCGTGGAGGAGCAGGAGGAGGAGGAGCAGTAGGAGGAGGAGGGCGAGGGGGAGGAGGAGGATGAGGAGGACGAGGATGACGAGGAGGGCAACGGGAATAACAAACAGGCGAATGCCGTGGAGGGCGAGGAGGGCGAGGAGAAGTAGAAGGAGGGGTAGGATGATGAGGAATTGTGGAGGAGGAGCAAAAGGAGGGCGATGAGGGCGAAGAGGATGACGAATACACGATCGCGAGGGCAATGAGGAAGAGGAGGAGGAGGAGTGGGAGGTGGAGGAGGACGAGGATGATGAGGATGGCGAGGTCCAGCGCGCTCTTAGAGGAGAAGTGTGAGGAGGAGGAGGAGGAGGAGGAGGAGGAGGAGGAGGAGGAGAGGCGGATTTGGTTAGCACGGACAGTAGGAATAACAATGTCGGGAAACGACGACAAGAGCAAGGAGACGACGACGGGAATGACAATGGCGAACATTATCTTGTCCCCTCTGCTCTCTCCCCGTTGTTTTCTGGACTGTCCTCTACCTTCTACCCTCTTTCTTCCGTCCTCTATGTTGGACATCCAGGTGACGTCACAAGATTGGTGATCGCCACCATGCAGGAACACATCATGGTCGAGATGCAGCCTGTGCCTGCAAACGGCTCTGTTATGCGCCACGAAGGCCACACACATCCATGCATAGGAACCTCGTGACGCCCCCTCCGTGGCATTCCATCTGCCATCCCCCAGACGCTTTCCTGCGCACGAGGGGGAGGAAGGCGAGATAAGGCGAGAAGGCCCAGCGGGAGTGGCGAGCGAGGCATCGCCCCAGGGGCCGAGAGCGTCCCATTTGGCCTCTCGCCGTCCCCCTCCCCTTCCGCCCCTGCCCGTCCTGCTCTCCGGGCCCCCGTCACCTCTGGAAAGCAGGGGAACAGGGTGGTAAACTGTTTGGCTGCCCTTCCGAGAACGAACATGATGAAGCAAATGAGATGCTGATGATGCTAGTGGTGCTGGTGATGCGACGATGTTGAGTGTTACGATGGTAACGGTTGAGCCAGGGATGCTCTGGACTCTTGGTTCGCAGGGGATTGGAGGAATAGCATAATGATCTCGAATGCAGTATGTTTGTCCCACACTCTCGCACGTCGGCTCGGTCCCCCTGGTCATTGATCAGATTTTGGGTTCGTAGGCCATACCTCAGAAACGGCAAGGGGACGAGAGGCGAGGTAGGTTACGATGATGTGGTGATGCCGATGATGAGTACGAAAGTCATAGCCATTTATTGTTTCAATTTGCGACGTCTTCCTTCAATTCTGCGACAGCATGAACAAGCACGGCGATGTCGCACATCTTCATACCTTCGTCCCTCTGTGAATACACATCACACACGTGATCCGACAGTTTCGTTTTCCTCGGTTCCCGCAACTGACAAATTGAGACTGAGATCCAGCTCGCACAAACGACATTCCCCAGCACCGTATCCCATTCTCAAACTTGCGATCGCCGTTCTTTTGTTCGTGCCTGGAGCGAGCTCAGACGCCTGGGCGCAGCCCCGCGCACAAGTTGCACATCGCAACGCGTCACGCTGGAAGGCATTGGCCGTGAAGTCCTGCGCCGCCGCACTTCAGAGCGTGCCGATAGATTTGCTATGGTTTCGCATCATCTCCAGTTTCCACGCGCTCTCCCTCAACGCCGTCTGGGGCGTCCACCTTATACATCGTGCACGGGGACAGCCTCAATCCCGAAGGCACCATGCCTGGCCCAGCTACCTAGCGCCGAGTAAACTCTCCCTCGCGTCGGTTCCCGCAGTGCGCATCGAACCGCGCAAGGTCCAGCTCTACCTGGTACGCCTGAAACTCAAGGCAACGAAATGGCATGTTTGCATATGCCTGCATAGTGGATCTCGCGCGAACAAACCATTCCGACACATGTCCGTCACCAAACGCCATTACCGCAACCGTGTTGTCAGTTTCTTTGGTGGTGTCTTCAACGGGGGGCGTTTGGTACCCCGTCCGAGGACGCAGCCAAATGATTGCAACGCAAAGTTGCAACTATTTTGCAGATTTTTTAGAAGCATGATTTTTTCAAACACAAGTTGCAACATATCAATGCGTTGCCGTTCCGTTGTAAAGTATTTGGCAGATATGCATTGCGTCGTCGTCCGTCATAGTTGCATCGGCAGATCCCTACACAGCAAAGAACATTATACCATGCACACGTTCAGCGATATACCTCCGCATCAAACAAAACAGGTGGTATGATAGCGTCGCTCCAAGACGCTGCATTCGTGCAGCATGGAGTTTGTTGAAATATAATAGCTGACTGCTTTAAGCAAGCCGATGAACGTTTCAAAATCAATGTTACAAGTATTTGGTCGCCAGTACGCGTTTTTTCTCCAAAGTCGTTTCGGAGGGAGTTTTTGTGAGCCCTGCTGGAGATTCACCCAACACGCCCCCCCCAAAACCCGTGCATCTTCTAACCTGTTCGTGGTAACTACAGCGCGGTCTTCTTTTGCCAACTTGCCACCAGCACTGCAGCTTGACATAAACAAAACGTGTCCGAAAGGCACGGGACACACAAACAACTATAGGATGGCAAACCATGTCCGGTTCAAATCGCCCCCATGTTTCGGTGCAGCGTTCGTGTGACTGCTGTACGGCAACCATCGCAAATCAGCGCTGAATGCGTGTGTGCCTCCGCTTGGGCCGCAGTGGCTGAGGACTTCGTGGACCGTGCTCTTGTCGCAGGAATACCACTCCGAGGGAATTGGGCTTCTTGGACGCAGCCACGCGCACGTTGCCCCCGATGGCGCCGAAGAGGCGACACTTTGGCGCGGGGGCACCGCCGTCAATTACAACTTGAAAGGGATCCCATGGTGCATCACAACGTTTGGCGAAGCAAGAAGAAAACACGACGATGATAACACATGGGGAAGAGAAGGTTGAGGAGGGATGAGGGAGGGGGAGAGAAGGAGAGGAAGGAGGGAGAGGCAAGCAACACATGAAAAGCAAGGGCGGAGACAGGCCTGATACAGCCACCTGGGGAATCACTACCAAGGGAAACCAGAAACGCACTCAACACAAACAATAATACTTACACAAAAACAATCAAACATACATTGCCATTTACTGTTTAAAGGAAATTCGATAAAACAAATCACACAATCAACACCACATGTTCGGTTGGACTGTCCTGATGTGTCTTTGCACAGGCAGTCAATAGTGTGCTTGGTGTTTTGCGATTTGTCTGTGATTGTTCGATATGTGTGTCTTGTTTGTTCCCGGATTTTTGGTTTCGGACATAGAACGCAATGGACAAATCAATGCCCCAAGGAAACAGCAGACAGACGCACAGCAACATACCAATAAAGAAACAAGTAAGCCATTGAAGAAGTCATGTGTTCTTTCAGGGGGAATTTTGATAAACCAAATCAACACCGACGTTGCGGTCGGATTGTTTATTTGCTTTCTTTAGAGATGAATGGTTCGTTTCCCAACCACCTTGTGGTGTTGGATCTTCGCTTTGAAGGGACATCGCCCCGCGTCTGTTTTCTCCTCCCGCAGCCCACTCCCTCCTCCTTTAAGTATCATCATGATGATCAGCATCACCATCATCATCGTCATCATCACCCTCACCATCGTTATCGTCATCATCGCCGCCACCATCGTCATCATCAGTTTCGTTGTCATCATCACCGCCCTCACCACCACCATCGTCATCATCACCGCCGTCGCCACACCCATGTCGCCAGACCCCTCCCACGTTTCGTGGCCCCACAGGGCGCTCCACCGACGGCCCTCGTGTCACCGCACGCGTGCGTCCCCCACACACATGTCGACACACCCCTCACGCGTTCCGTGGCTTTATAAGGGAGTTCTACCAAGGCCCCAGTGGGGGTGGCCACATGCGACCGCCACACCCAGTACAGCGCTTCGTGGCCCCATCAGGAGTCCCCCCTAAGGGCCCAACGGGGGTGGCCACATGCGCCCGCCACGCCACGTACAGCGCTTCGTGGCCCCATGGGGAGCTCCACCTGCGGCCCCAATGGGGTGTATCACATGCGCCCGCCACACCCAGTACGGCGCTTTGTGGCCCCACAGGGAGCCCCACCTAAGGCCCCAGTGGGGGGAGGGCACATGCGTCCGCCACACCCAGTACATCGTTTCGCGGCCCCATAGGGAGCTCCACCGAAGCACCCACGGGGTGGGGTACCACATGCGTCTGCCACAGCCAGTGCAGCGTATCGCTGTCCCATAGGGAGCTCCACTTAAGGCCACAGGGAGGGGGTACCACATGCGCCCGCCACACCCACTACAGCGCTTCGTGGGCCCATCGGGAGCTCCACCTAAGGCCCCAGTGGGGGTGGCCACATGCGTCCGCCACACCCAGTACAGCGCTTCGTGGCCCCATCGGGATTTCCACCCAAGGCCCCAGTGGGTGTGGCCACATGCGCCTGCCACACTCAATGTAGCGCTTCGTGGCCCCACAGGGAGCTCCACTTAAGGTCACAGTAGGGGTGGCCACATGCGTCCGCCACACCCAGTACGGCGCTTCGTGGCCCAATAGGGAATTCCACCTACAGCCCCAGTGGGGGTGGCCACATGCGTCCGCCACACCCATGTCGGCACACCCTTCACACGTTTCGTAGCTTGACAGGGAGTTCCACCGAAGGCCCCAGTGGGGGTGGCCACATGCTTCCGCCACACCCAGTACAGCGCTTCGTGGCCCAATGGGGAGCTCCACCGAAAGCCCCAGTGGGGGTGGCCACATGCGTCCGCCACACCCAGTACGGCGTTCTGTGGCCCCATACGGGATTCCACCTGCGGCCCCAGTGGGGGATGCCCGCATGCGGTTGCCACACCCAGTACGCCCTTCACAAG